TCACTCTTTGGGTGAAGAAGGACTTCCTTTTATCTGTTCTAACCCGACCGCTCAGCAATTTCATGGAGTGCCCACGAGTTCTTGTATTGTGAGAAAGGGCATCCCTGACAAGTGTTTGTCCAGCTGCTGCTTGAAGACTGCCAGTGAGGGGGAGCTCACCACCTCCCCAGGCAGCTGATTCAACCACTTAAGTAATCTTACTGTAAAAAAAAAAAAATCCTAATATCCAGCTGGTACCTTTCCACCCGTAATTTAAACCCATTCTTGCAAGTCCTATTCTGTTACTAACAAGAACAGCTCCCTGCCCTGCACTACCTGATTGCTTAAATTTCACGACCCCTGGTGACAAAGGATCTATTTACAATGTGTGATTACCCTTTGAACGGGAGGTCTGAACTTACCAATGAAAGAAATTGCTTTGGGATTGATGATGCCACTGGGGAAAAGGTGAAAATCGTATTCTTTTCCATCCACCACCACTGTATGGCCCGCGTTATTTCCCCCCTGCAAAAAAAAAATTAAACACACACAAAGATTAAACATCTGACTAGTCAGCTTAAGAATCCATTTGCGTGGGCTGAAATTGTGCCCACTTCTGTAAACACACTTAGTCTGCCGCTTCAACGTATTTTATCTACAGTTTTTAGTCAAATGCAAGAATAGGGTTCTTTTTCCTGGTACGCGATTTAAAAAAAAAGAGAGTCATTTTATATTTGCATACAAGTTACAGTTATGTCAAGTAAATTGTGTGTGTGTGTGTGTGTGAAGTAGATTGCGTCTGCGTGTGTGAAAGAGAGAAACGTTTTAAGGGCGTCTTCTTACATTCAGGGTTGTCTTCCTTTCAAGTAAATATGGCACGTTCAGGATTTACACCTGTGTTACTTTTTGCCTTCATTGCGCAGCTGCTTCCCAATCTGCACACTGTTTGGACTGCTGTCCCTTCCCCTGGGTGTATCTCCTAGAGCATTATTTGGCTTCTAATAAGGATTTCCATTGCAAGCAAACTTAACTGCCCCATAAAACAACGTTCCATTTGGAGAACAAGACTAAGACCCTACCTACATGATAACAACAGCCAGGATGACCTATGCTCAATGTTGGAAACAAAAGGAAGTTCCCGAGGATTGAAGATTGGATTAAAAAAACTGTTGTTTTCAGTTGAAATGGATAAACTGACAAGAAAGTTGAATAATATGGATGCAGAAGATTTCTATGATGATTGGAAAGATTTAAAAGAATATTTAGAAAAGTATTGGGAAGGAAGAGACAACTTATTTTGCTTTAATGATTATTAAGCATAGAACTTTTTAGAGACGTGATAAGTAAAAGAATTAAAGGCTATCGTTGAATAATAGTTACCTAGTGAACTACAAAAAAGAAAATAGATATATTAAAAAATTAAAAAGCGAACATACTGGAGGTCGTAGCACTGTGGGAAGCTGTATATAGGGGAGGGGAAAAGGGAGGTGGGTAGGATGTAACGGGGACAAATGTAGAAAAATAATGTTAGTTGTGAATGTTTATATCCTGAATAAAAATTTTGTTATATATATAAAAAAAAAGACTAAGATCCTACCTGAAGTTCTGAAAAAGAGAAGCTACAGAACAGTGATATATATTCAGGCTGTGTCAGTCTGAAGCAACAGAACGAAGTCTGAGTCCAGCGGCACCTCTGTTGGTCTTAAAGGTATAGGGTTGCCATTCCCCAGATGGGGACAGGGGACTACCCGGTTTCGTGGGCTCCTGCCCACCACCAGCCAGCTGGCTGGAGGCAGGAAATCCCCCCCCCCCCCAACAGCAGCATCACACAACGTGCCTACATCACCCAGAAGTGACGTGAGCGTGCTGGGGCCGCCGGTCTGATTTTTGGGCAAAACTCTATGGTGTGAGGGTGATTTTACCATAAGAGTTTTGCCCAAAAACCAGAGCGTCGCCCCCAATGTGCCTACATCACTTCCAGGTGACGTAGGCACAGCTCGTAACGTCACTGCTGGTGACGGCGGCATGTCAGGGATGATGCTTCTGGCTCCCGGAACGTCCACCCCCCACCCACCCCGCCGGCGTCTCTAACGGACCTGGCAGCCCTATAATGGTGCCGTTGGACTCAAAGAATGGCGATGTGGCATTCTCATTATTTTTACCAGAGACTGCCCTTGCAGAGATGTTACACTTAATCATTATGGCCAGAGTTAATTTGCAGGCAACCTTCAGGGTTCCTGGCTTAATAAATAAAATCAATAAAATAATTTATTTTGTCCCCACTGGCCTCCCGTAAATAGCTACTTAAGCACATTTTATTAATAAACTAGTTTGGCTATTATACAGGGACATACAAACAGCAGCCAATAATCAACGGTTTGGTTAAATAGTTAACAGTGCCGTCCTAAACAGAGTGACCCTGTTCTAGGTAAACTGAAATCGACAGGCTTAGGAGGATATAACCCTGCTTAGGACTGTACTGTCGTGCACAGGCAAGTATAATCGGATGACGACGCCTAACTCCACTCCGCATTAACAAGAGGTCTGCCTTCCAACTCCAGCGGGATCTGGAGCTGTGCTCATACGAACACACAAGTATATCCCTGCTGGATCAGACCGGCAGTCATTCAAGTCCTGCACCCTATTTCCCATAGTGGCCAATCCGTTACTATGAAGTCCAACAACAGGGCATAGAGGCTGAGGCCTTCCCCTGAGTTTGCCTCCTGGAGCTGGCAATCACCACCACTGAATGTAGAGATTCCCTTCAGTCATCACCATGGCTAGTAGCCACTGATGGACACCCCCCCCCGAAGATCGTTCCAGAGGGTCGTTGTGTTGGTCTGCAGTAGGATTTGAGTCTGGTAGCCAATGCTCCCTCTAAGCTGTGGAGTCTTGTGAGCAAAAATTCTACTTTGTGAGCTACTGGCATTAAAGTTGGCTACTGCATACATTCGTTTGCTCTGGAGCCATCCTTCCTGAGCTAAGACAAAAATGCGCGAGCCGGAGACTAAAGAAGGGTGAGCTAGCTCACACTAACTCAGCTTAGAAGAAGAGATTGGATTTATACCCTGCCCTTCACTACCCAAGGGAGTCTCAGAGCGGCTTACAAACTCCTTTCCCTTCCCCTCCCCACAACAGACACCCTGTGAGGTAGGTGGGGCTGAGAGAGCTCTTTCGAGGACTGCCCTTGAGAGAACAGCTCTGACAGAACTATGGCTTGCCCAAGGTCATCCAGCAGCTGCAAGTGGAGGAGTGGGGAATCAAACCCAGTTCTCCCAGATTAGAGTCCGCGCACTTAACCACTACACCTCTTAAGAGACCAACAAGAGTTTCAGGGTACAAGCTCCAACAGTTAAAGTTCCTTTCTTGTTGGTTTCTAAGTACGAACGGACTCAAATCTCACTCCTCCGCTCCATGCATCTGTCTGATCCCCTTCTAAAGCTGTTCATGCTTGTGGCCACCACTATATCCTCTGGAAGCGAATCCCACATTTTAACCAATCGCTCTGATTAATCCATCAGCCCGTGCATGCTTTATGTTTTAAAAGGACTGGCTGGAACGTTCTTCTGTCTCATTCCCTGGCCACCAGTGTTCCCTCTAAGCTACATTAGGTGTGAGCTAGCTAACAGTTTTTTAGCCTCCAGCTCACACATTTTTGTCTTAGCTCAGGAAGGATGGCAAACTAATGTCATGCAGCAGCCAAATCGCTCACTCGCAACTTTAATGCCAGTAGCTCACAAAGTAGAATGTTTGCTCACAAGACTCCACAGCTTAGAGGGAGCATTGCCGGCCACTGCGACACATAAGAGGAAAGCAGCCGTTGTTCTTCCTGCCCTCCTCCTTCACGCCCTGGTTCTTTGCACAGCATTCCTTCGTTCTCATTAAAGGTCTCGTCTCAATTTTAAATGAGCAGCCTTTGTCCATGTGTATGTGGACAGGGAGAAGTTGGCACACACACGTTTCAGCCTTCGAAGGGAAGTGTGCCAAACAATCCCCGGCGCAAACATCCGTATTGAACTCTTGAAGCACATGCTTGGTATCGAAAGGTTAAACAGTCCTTGCTTGCGGATAGCAAATCAGCTCAGACAGTAATGCCAAACCGAAGCCCTTACCACTGCAGGGAAAAGACTGGACCCGAAACCACCGATGTAACAAGATATTCATTTTAATCGCCATAACGCTGGAAGCAAATAGTCCCAGAGGCCCAAGTCACTGCTGTGCTGGTAACTTTCCACAGATCCTGTTTGCATTCCCTATGGCAGAGGAGGGACTGTGTCTTACTGGTGGACAATCTGCTTTGCATGCAGAAGATTCCAGGTTTGATCCCCAGCTAAAAGCAAGGATCGCGTAGGTGGTGATCAGTGTTCCCTCTAAGCTGCGACAGTGTGAGCTAGCTCACAGTTTTTTTAGCCTCCGGCTCACACATTTTTGTCTTCGCTCAGGAAGGGATGGCTCCAGAGCAAACTGGTTTATGCAGCAGCCAAATTGCTCGCTCACATCTTTAATGCCAGTAGCTCACAAAGTAGAATTTTTGCTCACAAGACTCCACAGCTTAGAGGGAGCTTTGGTGGGGATACGAAAGATCGCGAGCTGACACCCCGGAGATCTGCTGCCAATCAGAGCAGGAGATACTGACTTTGACAGATAGAAGGTCTGACTCGGGTTTCATGTCTGCAGACTATATTGATCAGAAATGTCCCTTAGATTACCAAGTTCGCCTTAAAGACTGAGTCCCTCCTGCCAACCTAGCAGTTTGAAAGCAAGAAATTGCAAGTAGATAAGTAGGTACCACTTCGGTGGGAAGGGAACAGCGTTCCATCCACCTCGGCGTTTAGTCATGCCGGCCACATGGCCACGGAAACGTCTTTGGACAGCGCTGGCTCTTTGGCTTGGAAACCGAGATGAGCACCACCCCCTAGAGTCAGATTCGAACTAGCTTTCGAGCAAAGGAAGCCTTTACCTTTACACTGTGTCCAGTAGCACCTTAAAGACCAACTTAAGTTTTTCCAGGCTATAAGTTTTTGAGAGTCAAAGCTCCCTTCCTCAGATACCAAAAGACTACTACCACATGTCTTTTTCTCTGCTTTCGCTGATGTACTAATCAACTTCCACAAAGCCTATCAACCTAAGAGTGTTTTCAGAACCCCTAGTAAGAGTGCCTTGGTTCCCTTTAACCAAGTTACAGCAACATCTCCCCAGGGAAGTGAACATTATCCAAGGGTGTGATCTTTGCCCTTTGTCTCGCCTACACGTATCGGGGGGAGAAACACACAAGGAACGCGACAACACCAAGCGCTGTTCTGAACTTAAGTTTTCAATTGTCCGTTTCTGATTGTCACGCGGGATCGGTAAGCTTAGATTCTCCTAAGGGCGCTGGAAGCCAGACTTGTTTTCTTCCAGAGCTCTGGTAACTTTAAACTTGACCTTCTCGTACAGTATTTATATTACTGGTGATCCTGGAGTGGGGTTTTTTTCTCTCTCTCTCTCAGTGCCCAGAGGAGAAGCCTGGGTTTTAAAATAGCAAT